CTCTGTTGTGGTTAAACATCCCATAAATGTGCCATCAGCCTTATTACATACACAACGGGCGCTATTAAGACCAGGCAGGAATCCTGGTCAGAAAGTTTCATTTCCTCCACAGCAACTAAGGGAAAAACCACTATTAAAAGGACAGGCTTGTTCATAACACTGGAATTATTTGTGATTAACAAAACTGGTCAACTAGAAAATGTAAAGGAATCCATTGAGACTTTGACTTTCAATGATACCAAGCAATTAAATTACTTTTCTGCAGTACAAAACTGAGAAGGTAATTTAAAAAAATACATAAAATTGCAAAGAAGTATAAACTACCTAGGAATAAGAATGATCAGAAATGTCTGAGCGGCATGAAAAAAGTCACAATAAATGTTGGAGGTGGGTGGAGACCGTGGAAAAGCAGAGAATCATAATGTTTCAGAAAAGTATAAATATATAAGTCAAGCCTATCTAAATCAATGCATACATTCAATGCGACTCTAGTAACGCTGCCACCGGTTCACCCGCCTGATGTAATGCTATGAAGAAAGTCCGTAATCATGTTAGACTGGGAAAAATGTTTATAATTAGAAGTTGTGATAAAATCAAATGATATTGGTGTTATACAGAGCATTTTAAACGTGAACGTAGCACAAAATTAAACACAGGCACAGGTTTAGGGCAATGGTGTTTTTACTTGTGTACAAGGATCCCGAAAGGAAAGATCCAGGAACACCGTAAACTTGGAGGCAAGAAGCAGAAAACACATCTTTTATGACACATCACTAGGTCACATGTGACCACTGTTAGATAATGACAATTGTGTTTAGGTGGCAAGACAAGAGTTTTTCATTAGATTTTCAGGGAAGTAAAGAGTGGGAGGCAGGAACTGGATTTGGATCAGCTGACCGAATGTATCGCGTCCGCTCCCAGCAGTCAACTTAAAACTCAGCCTCTCCCTGCCTCCTCTGCAGAGACGCGTCTCCAAGGCCCCAGCCTCCGGCCTCCCCACAGACGTGCACTGGCCTCCCTTCCCACCAAACAACAAAACTGACTCCAGCATTGGCCTGAATTCAGAAGCAGAGGCGCTCGTTTGCCGACACGGCGCGCCCCGGGCGGCCTCACGTCCAGGCCCCACAGGGACACCCACCCACCGCCGCAGTTCTTGTCGCAGGGCCACGCGCCCACTCACACCCACAGACCCTGACGGTCGGGCTGTCGGCCGTTAATCTCTCCGTACGCTTGTAACGACACTGGCCGCCAGGGGCCCGATCACCGAAGCCAAGACTCCGCGGTGACCGAACCGAAAGAAACCCCCAGAGCGGCGCCTCGCGGGCCTCGCGGGCCCCGCTGACGCTGAGCTTCAAGGACCGCCGGGGCTGCCAGAGGCCGTACTCACTTCCGAAGCGGCGCCCGGTCCGGGGCTCGGCGCCGGAGGCGCCTCCCTGGCGGTCGCGAGGGACGCTCCGGGTGTGGCCGGGAGCCCGCCTTGCGCGCGCGGCTGGCCTGGCCGGGCTGTGACGTAACGTGGCCACGCCCCCTGGGCGGCCCGGTCCTCGGCGGCCCGGACGGGGGCTGCGGCTCCGCCCGCGGAGGAGAAACCAGTCGCTCTCGCGCCCGTCCTTGCCCGCCAACCCCTCCTCGCCGTCGGCCAGCAGCGCTGTGCGGGACGCTCGGAGGCCCGAGCCTATCCGAGGCCAACGTGTTCGCGAGCCGTATCCGGCCTTCTGGGCAAGACGGGAGGATGGCAGCGCCCGCGGGCCTGTAGGGGGCGCACCCTGGGGGGCCGCCATCCTCCCGGGGGTACAGCGCGGGGCGACAGGGAGGTCCTCAGGGCTAAAGCCGCCAGGAGCTTCTGGATGGCCCAGGAAGTTCGTGCCGTCAGGCCCGGACGCAACACTGGAGGCCGCGTCCTGGAGAGATGCGGAGGCGCGGAGGCCGGCCGGCCTGAGGTTGGACACGGGCCTGTTTCAAGGACGGAGCTCCGTGAATCCGACGCCCAGGAGGGCTGGAAGGTGGCGTCCTCCAGTCAGAAGGGGAGAGGAGTGAGGCTGCTGCCCGAAACAAAGGCCATTTCAGAGTGGTGAAATGAAGTATTTTATTATCTTGTTTGGCATCATTCCTAAATTAGCACGACACTCAAGAAATATTTTAGGCTAAGAAGGTGCAATAGGAGAGGATTTAATAATGTGGATTCCCCCTTACCAAGTCCCCACCAGGTACCCCCATCAGTCACTGTCCATCAGCATACCAAGATGCAATAAAGTCACTTGTCTTCTCTGTTATACTGCCTTCCCCGTGCCCCCCCTCCCACATTATGTGTGCTGATCGTAATGCCCCATTTTCCCCCTTGTCCCTCCCTTCCCACCCACCCTCCTCAGTCCCTTTCCCTTTGGTAACTGTTAGTCCATTCTTGGGGTCTGTGAGTCTGCTGCTGTTTT